CAATGCCAATTATTTTCCATGATCTGAGATAGTGTTAAAAGCCAGAGCAATATAGAAGGGATCCGTCAATTGGAAGGGCACTCTTGAGGAACCCACATCATACCTGTTTATCTGCGATACTACCAGGAAGTAGAACGCGAGCAGGGCTTCGGCCTGTACTTGCTGTAGATCATCATGATCATAGAGAACGCTCTCTGAAAGGCTCAGAGATTTAGCCCTTGCCAAAAAGAGATTCTCATCTGCCTCCTGCTGTAGGTTCTGTTCAGAAAGTCGACCAATAGCGCACCCGATGGCGAAGATCATATTGAAAATGGCCAACCATTTTCTGCCAGGATTTATAAGGCCCCCGGAGTAGCAGCGGTCGTACTGAGCAATAAAGAGGTCCCGTCGAATGAATGGGAAAGAAATGTCAACCTTCGTCAGATAAATTTGGAATAATTGATCCGCTAGCGATTTTGGTGGCAAGATGAAAGCGTTGATTACATTCAAATTTGAGATATTTTGATAATCGAGGTTGTAGTTCATTGATGCAATTGAATCGTCAATTGGAAGCTGGTGCCGTGGGATCATATTTGGAGGGGCTTCTCTGTCACTCTGCTTCGTAGCTTCTGAGTCCAAGCGCTGCATCCACGTAACTTCAGAATTCTTCCCCATCTGCCCAGTCGCCCTGCTTTTTTCGCTCCGATTAAGGTCCTCCTTCACAACATCAATTGCGTCCAAATAGCCGATCGAGGATGAGGACGAGGCACTGGACGGCCTGTTCTGATGCCCTTCCAAGTTTGCACCACACGGGCTCTGTAGATGCTTTCGTTAGTTTCTTCAAGATTCCAACATCGCCGATTCAAGGAAAATACATACTTTGAGCGCCTTCGCAACTTGGTCAGCGGTAGATACCTCGAGTTCTCCTAAAATATTTCGAAACATCTCCTCGTAGTTCTCAATCTTTCTTTTCATCAATTCTAAGTCTTTTTGCTGTCGAACACCTTTGGCATCCGAATAAAAACAGGTGTTTAAGCCATGGGCATGGCAAAAAGAGCAGGTAGGCCGGTTGCCATCACATTTGATTTTTCGTTGTCGACAAGAGTCGCAAGCCTGGCTGGTTCGTCGCCCACTGCTTTCCCGTCTTTCGCGTCGTAGCCGTGGAATAGGAAGCTTATACGGCATCTCCACACGGTAATTCATATTTAAAGTCGTCAATCTCAGATACAGAAGTAGATTTGGTCGAGAACATAAAACCACAGGTACTGCAAAAAACAATGAAAGCATGACTTGCGCCGCTGTATTTGAAGGTGCGATTACTCTTGCCCCCATTACGTCATGGTACCTAATACAGTACGATTACATCAGCAGATCTATCCACCGAGCCAATGAGGGCCACCATTTATCAGGATCTCTCAGTATGTGTGTCATCATATGCCCGCAGAGTGAGGGGTGACTCTACAGGTTGCGACAATGCGAAGCCTGGGTGTATCAGCAGTGCTGTTCACTGATGATAATATACCTCACTAACACTGGGAGAGAATTGATGAGATACGAGTGCGGATCAGGAACTGTTGTAGTTCAGAGGTATGAATTGTGTTATTTATTCAGAGGGAAACATGAGGCTATATATACAACGAGAAGATCAAGTTGATTTCCAATCAACTTGGTTCTTCGTATACCTACTTCGGGATTAATTCTGATGGTTCGGCTTGGTTCCTGATCTGCACCAGCCTCATATCACAACATCATCGTCTGGGCGACTTTCTTGTAGTAGTGCATTGAGCTTTCAGGGAATATCTCGGCGTTGGTCACGCCAAGGTATGTGATGATCTTGCCGCCGGATTAACTTAGCTCCACTGTCCTTTTCATGACTTTCAATTCGCGAACCTACATCGCCCCGAACATCCAGCTCATCATTCTTAGCCTCTTCTCGCCGGGCCTCCGTAGCCCGCCCCCATTCGAAATCAGAGAAAGGTGAGTGATATACGAAGGAGGTCAAGTCGACATGCGGCTACCTAAAGCGGCACATGGTTTTACTCTGGTGGGTTCGTCATGTGCTTCCTGAAGGTGGTACTTTACCAATAGAGACTGGATAATTCAGCAGCCACCCAATTGCTCGCATGTTTTGTGGTATATGTACTTTTGTCTCGGATGGTCCAGGATTCAACTGACGCGTCTGTCTTTGAAGATTATATCGAGCAGCTTCTCCAACACTGTGGTAAAGGGCCTGAGCCGAAGTCTGTGCTAGTGGTGGATAATGCATTCTTTCATCACTCGAGCAAAATTGAAAAGATGTCCTCGGAAGCTGCTGTAAAGCTAGGGTTTTTGCCAGCATATTCTCCAAATTTGAATCCTATGGAGGAGGGTTTTGCAAAGCTCAAGGCCTTTGTCCGCTGTGATTGGCAATCCTACGGAGAATTTTCAGAACAAAGATTCGACAATTTCCTTAGATGGTGCACTGACGTTGTCGGTGCGAGGGAGAAAAGCGCAGAGAGGCATTTTCGGCACGCCGGCTAAGTTATACAGGTATGGCGATGCTGGGGTAGCAAAGTTCGGAATTAACTTTACTGGCTGACTGGAACTGATTCCATCACGGACATTATTGCAAACCGCGTTGAATTTTGAATTCCAACAGTAGCTGAATAGAGATACTAAACATATGAATCCAACTTTGCCATGCTGGTCGATGTTAAAGTTTACGCGGTTTCGCCTTCCATGGCGGAGATAAAGCGAGACTCGAGGATGATATATATTACTCACCATCCTCGGAGTATTCTAGCTTATGTTGGAAACTGTGTGGGACAAAACTCAAGGACAAAAACTGTAATTATTTATTATCTCTTATTCAACCAGAACTGACATAACTTATACAAACTTCGCTCGTACTGTCTCTTTCCTCTTGATGAGCCATGTAAATTGGACGCAGGCGGACTGGTTGGTCAACGCTAGGCGTCCAGCTCTTGTGTCGAAAGTGTACTTGGCACAACGCCATCAGATACTGCTAATATATGCACCAAGATATCGATTCCTTTTGTATTTGCCCGATGAAAATTGAAAGCGAGACGTGCCACATTCACTATTGGTGTACTCGGGCATGTCGCGCTGAAGAAATCCTGTCTGGAGCGCGAGAAATCCTTGGAGAGCGAAAAATCCTCTTTGGAGCGCGAGAAATTTCTTCTGTCCTGAGAGCTTTCATCAAACGGTTGCGATTATTACGTAAAGCGTAAACTGTTCTTGGACCGGGTCGACTGGGAACTTTTGAGACTGTTTCGGCCAGATAATCTAAAGAGGCTCCATTGGGGAACAGCCATCTGAATCTTTCGAAATCGCCTTTGTCGTAAGAATCGCGACAGAGCCTGTTGATTCCACCTCGGACTTCTAGGTAAGATGCACCATGATGGGTCAACCAGCTTAACTGTCTTTGATAGTCATTTGATCGAGCTGCGCTCTCAACGAGGCCTCCGCACGGAACATACTTGAGTGACGCTCCCCGTTGGCCCAGAATATTCAGACCTGGAGTCACACCGTTTTCACGATAGGCATATGATAAAATGTGGCCTCGCGATATGTGATGATATGTTCCTAGCTGACAGTTCTCATACCATTCTTCTAGCTCCTCGCCGTGAAGAGCCTTGATACTTTTCAAAATGGGCGTAAGGGGTGTACGGCCGAATCGAGATCTCGTTTGACGACACGTTATACAGAAATTCAAGTAATCACGTAGGTCAAGGTTCGTTGCGATTAGATCCAAGATCTCTAGGGGTAGAGTATGCAAAGATGCCATTATAGTCCTGGTATGGTTAATGGCACCGGTGGTATACTAGCAAACTAGGAAGATGAGTAAGAGGTATCGCGATCGAATCTTCTAGTTTGCCTTTATTGTGTCGGATCGGAATAAAAGCGAAAGACGGACGCTTCGAGGGTGGAGAAGATTAGGCTTATAAATGACACATTATCACGTGATTATATCCTCGACCCCTTTGGATGTTTGCTTTGTTTGCAAGGGTTGGGAGTTCCCCTATTCAAGTCGCGGCGCTAAGGGAATCCAATCAATGGCATCAGGCGACCCAAGCCCAGCATTCCACTGGTTACATGACTCGTGGATGGTAGAGATTCCTACATCTGGTTGGTCTGCGGCACAATCCATGGCATAACCGAAATTTCAGAGTAGTAGGAGTGGGACCTACGTTCCCAGGAAGGGGGATAAAAACTAATGCAAATTTCCCCTCTATGTTCAGTCGGCCGTCTAGGTCAGGAATTCACGGAAACTAATAAGATCCGACATTGGCGGAAGTAATATCATCGAGGCCTATAATCACAGGAAATGAGCTGTTAAGAGACTTGATAGGTATTATATCAGTGAGTTTCTATGTGAAGAGTAGGATCTACAAGCTAGCTAAATCAGAGCTAGGCTTTCTTTGGTCGACTGTGCATTCTATAATAATCTCCGCGGAAATTTCAGGCAGACTTGGGAACTGAACTGGTGATGCAGAATCGAAGATGCAACGAGTCTATTCGGGCAAGTAGTACGTTAAAGATACTAGTTCCCGAGTTACTCGGCTTGTAAATTGGATTTTTGAATTTGAATACTAAAGGGAAAGCCAAATGGTGTATTGGAGGACCGCCACGAACAAATTGTTTAATGGGTTGTATTCTTTAGGATCCTTCTCACTGGAACTCTACATCTGATGCTTCAACGAAACAAAATTCCATAACTCTGACTGTATATCTTTCTATTTTACACTAGAAGACCGTCCAAAGAAGAGAAAGTCAGCTTCAAATGAACATTTAATCTTCAAGTGAATGCGTTGAAGTAATATCTGACATGGGACACATAGGATCTCTTTCAATCGACCAAACTGGACTTTGACTCTTTCGAGCTCTCGGAAAATAGAGTCCGAGCAATCAAATATGTTTGCCAAGACTTGATGATAAATATATCTACCTGTCAGCCTCGTTCTTGCATTCAAGGAAGCCGGATCCTGTATTCTCCTACTTATATCGCTGGTCACGACAATCTATGGATCTATATCTCCATCGACTGGGATTATTTCCTCGGGATCTTCCACATTACTCCGGAGCCAATTCTCGAGTGTAGTAATGTAGCTTCGCGCGAGGATCACGGAGTCGATATCGGGTGGAAATGGGCTCAGTGGGATTTCCTGTCCACTTCGATCCAGTAGCCAACCATCTGCCCGAAGCTGCTCCTTGATAGAATGGTCCAGATCGGAAATTGCGCTCTCTGAATCAAGGACACACTGTTGTTCCTCCCACCATGGGTACACGGAGTTGGTAAATATACACCCCTGAGAGGATTCTGGGGCGATTTGGATTGGTAAATATCTATACGTTCCCTAATATCCCCTGTGAACTCACTTTGCTCTTTGATATACCTTATCGCGAGAAGGTACATAAAGTAATAAGGCAACAATCTTCCCATGACCATTCTAGTCGTAACTAGCGACCGGCGCAACAACATATGGCTCAGCTCTGCGATGGTTAACCTAGCTGCCTCTGCATCAAATATTGCAAGCAAGATATCGACGTACCTGCCTCAGCATGCTCATTGGGACGCTGCGCTAGAACTTCGGCGGGTTCAGGGCTCGGCGCAGCATTGAAGTGATGAGACATAGTGGACGAACAAGAAATTGATAAAACCCGTAATTAGATTGAAGGACTCTTTGACAAATGCTTTGGTAAATGCTTGAAGACCTGTGGGTTGACATACAGGACCGAAAGAAGTACAGAGACGCTATTTATGTATTTCCCATCTGTGTAAGATTCCTTGCTGTAGCGGTGCTGAGCGTCGACCCGGGCCAAGACTGCCCGGGTAAGAACAAAGAAACGCACGGATCCGCTTAGGGAAAGATTCCTCTTTTTATTGGTAGTTAAGATAGTGGGAGTCCACTCCATTCCAAGGCTCGTCTGAACAGACAAAGAACGCTCGGGAGAAACCCCAAGCCCGGTGGATCCGCTCCGCAGATTCAGACAAAGAGGCAGAAACATCACGACCCGCATCAAAGTGGGGCGTAATTTGTCATATATTGGGATAAACATTTCGCCGGTGCCGGACCATCTTTGTGCAGAGTTGGTGATCATATCACCCCCCTTTCCTGCACTTGAAGACCCAAGTGCTTTGTATCCTCGATGTGTTTATTGCGCCGACCACGGCAATTGTGACAGATTATTCTCTCCCTTCAACATGGCAGGTCTCCCTTTACTGAAGGGAAACTTCATTTCCTTGGAGGATGCCCTGACCGACGACGACAACATCTTGCATCGCTTAGACTATCCGCAGAAGCTGAAAGCCTTCTGTTCAGATCTCCTTACCCATAGACGTGACATTGAATCCTTGGTCTCGTTCCATCTTGGCGTGAAAGATTGCCAGGTTGCCGAGGAGGCCGATTGGCTATTTGGAAGTTACAATGTTTGCATTCCAATCCATATAGGTCGGCAATCCGAGGAACGTGTTCTTTTTCGTGTCCCGCTGCCTTTCAAAATTGGCGAGGAGACTTTTCCTGGGAATAGTAACGAAAAATTGCGCTGTGAAGTCGCCACATATATTTGGATCCTTGAGAATTGCCCAGATGTTCCAATACCTTCCCTCTATGGCTTCGCCTTTCCTAATGGACAGGCTGTAAGTAGGCCTGTTCTACTCTCTTATTCAGAAGAGCTACGGCTAACTTTGCCCTTAGTTTGCTCTGGAGAAATGCATGGGTTGGTTTACAAGATGGCATTGGCGCTTGAAGCGAACCATCCGGTCATGGTTTAGATACCCAAATACTTGTCCATTTGTCGGTACCAGGAATGAAAGTGCCATCAAAATGGGATACATGATCATCAGCTTCGTTAAAAATGGGCGTATGCTCTCTGATACGTGGGGAGAATATCTCTTAACGGACAAGACTCGAAGACATACTCTTTTCAGTGATATCGCGAAGATCATGGTTCAACTGAGTCGAATCCAATTTCCACGTATTGGATCGTTAAGTTTGGATGACGATGGCCTGATCAAATTAACGAATCGTCCCCTTACATTGCGACTCCAGACTTTAGAGAATGAAGGGATTCCCACGATACCTAGGAGCTCTACCTTCCAATGTGTGGAACCCTATATTCTGGACCTTCTACATTGTCACGACAATCGCATACACTATCAGCCTAATGCTATCCATGACCTGAATGATGGGCAGGAGCAGCTAGCCGCTTTGACTATGATGAAGGGTCTTTTGCCGCATTTTATTTCCAGCCAATATCGTGACGGCCCATTTATTCTTTCACTCACTGATCTCCATCCAAGCAACATTTTTGTCGATAACGATTGGCACATCACTTCCTTGATTGACTTGGAATGGGCCTGCATCTTCCCAATCGAACTACAAACACCACCCTACTGGTTGACTGGTCGACCTATCGATGATATTGAGAATGGCGAGCATCTCCAAAAGTTTCAAGAAGTCATGGTTGAATTTATAGATGCGTTTGACGAACAAGAACAAAGACTTCACAGTTCCGCCCCCGCCCAGGCCGAGATCATGAGAAAATGCTGGGACAGAGGAAGCTTCTGGTATTTCCAAGCGCTCCACAGCCCGAAAGGTCTTCTTCGTGTGTTCAACGAGCATATCCAGCGCATATTTTGTGAAGAACATTGCACTCAGCGGGTCTTTGATCGGACAGTTAGCCCATACTGGACCACAAAGGCGGAAGATTTCATTCAAGCGAAACTATGGCAAGAGACGGCGTATAAGGATCAAGTGAGGAAGCGATTCATTGAAGCTGACCAAACATGTACATTCGAGTAATTGTTTCGTGTCAATCATGTCAAATCAATAAATCTCTCTCCGTGATTTCTCGATGTGTATTCCTTGTGCAAGCACTCGCCGCTTAGTCTTTTTTATTTGTCTGTCTCTTCTTTTGTGCTTCCGACCCTGAAGATAATACCTGGCCGATGTTTGGATTATTGGCGATTTGCTGAGAGGGTAGTTCAATGTCCTTTTTCCCCCGAGCTCTGCGAGCTTCTTCGCCAGAAGACATGGACATATTGATGAGCTGGTTTTGCACTATTCTCTTTGAATCGGAGACATCTTTTCCTTCTTGGTCACTCATCTTGACCATTCACTTTTCGAGGGAGAAAAGTAGAAAAATGGCAAAATAGAAAGTTGAGAGGTAAAGGGTGCCGCGAACAGTTTATGGAGCGGGGTTGGCGACCTGTGCGTCAAAATCCAAATTCAGTGGGAATTATGCATGAGTGCCCTTTCGAAAGCCCGAACTAGCCATGATGAGTTAGGAAAAGGGTGGCGGCCAATCATGAGAGAGCCACCCTTTTCCCACACGAATTGCTGCAATGCCTGACGGCCCGTGCCTCGACGATGTGTGCACAGATTGGGGCCCCATTCACATCACACCAGCCATGTGATTTGCAAGACTTAAATTCCCAGTGTGCTTACAATGCAGACCTGCCTCCTGCTAACCTTGTACTTGAGGATAGCTTAGATCTTATATCAAACGTGGGTGATCCCTTGTGGTATTTACCATCGGTGAGGGTATTTAAAGGATTGTGTGCGAGTAATGAGATTATGTATCGTGAAAGCTGATTGAGAGTTGATGGTGAGTTTTGGTCCACAGAATGCAGTCGTTGTGAGTCTATAAGTAGGTCACTATGAAGAGAGCTTTGACTCTATCTATAATCACACTTCAACATTCACACTCAGGGCACAGAAAATTTGCCCCGTCCACTGCCAGAGTCGAGCTTACCCTCCTGGTCGATAGGTTTGCTTGGAAGCTTCCGGTCTCCTGGCCAGGAGCAGCTGAGATTGAGACGAATGATAAATCTCACCACCCCCGTAGACAGAGCCATGTGCAAGGCAGCAGCTTCTTGTCGGTCCATGAAAACCGGGTCTCGGACTAAGTTTGCGTTATGATGGACCCAGTTCATTAGGTAAGATAGGAGGATAGTTCTAGTTCCGAACCAGCGAAGAATTGCTGCCTCCAATAGAACCATTGGACCATATTTCAAGTTACTGGAAACTTGCGACTCGGGTATGGACCTAAAGCATTCCATCTTTTTCTATACAGTGCTGTCATAGGCTGCCCATCGAAAGTAACCCATTTACTACAATGCGGGCATTTTGAGCATCCACCAACTGTTCAGGCAACGCATCATACAGTAAGAGAAGAAATTACACTCTGGCATAAAGCTGAATGTGCAAGCTGTGGGTAGCAAAAATACCTCTTCGTTCTTGGCATTGCCATTTCAGAAATGAACCCACTTAAGACTTGGAAATGCAGATCCGATATATCCTGTCCCTTCTCGGACAATATTCATCGCAAGAGTCTAGTTTTGTTCAAGTGTGCTCTGAACAACCTTGGTTCCCTTATCGACCTTTTGCTGTGGGAGCTAGTGTTCGTAATTTGGCCACCACCTCTGCAGATGTGTTTAACAGCAAACATCTAATCCAAGATATAGAAGAAGATATCAAAATGATCCTTGAAATTATGCAATCCAAGCCCGATCGCATCGTGGTCACGGAAATGTTTCATGTCAAAGCGTAGCAAAAGATTTGTCGGGGTGGCCGTCGAGAAGAACTGTACATTAATGTCTTTTATGTTTCTGTCGGACCTATGGCACAACGGATGACCTAGAAGGGGTTGGTATATTGACTTGATGATAAGAAACGAGAAAAAAAATATTGTCTCTTAATTCGAATAGGAAGGACCACTTGAAAGATCTTTTCTCGCATCATGACCTAGATAGTAGGTTGCGGTAAAGCTATCGGAAAAAAATGATGCATGCTCTGCCGTAGTAAAAAGTACTGGAGTTACCGAAATCGGCTTGATGGCATAGCTAGGCCCATGGCTATTATGAGTCCTATGCAGCGTATACAGTACCCAAACAGCCTTGTCCGTGGCGAGACTGAGAACCTCTTTCCACAATTACAACGTTTCGAACTTTGGCCTCCCTGCTGGGGCTGAGAGGGGCCGAAACTTGTGTTTGTGTATCATTAGTTGCTGCACGGGTGGAATCAGTTCAAGTCTCAACGGCATAGTGTTAGGTGAACCATCACTGAATGATCTAAATTATGATCCATCACCATCCAATTTCAGAATCTGCTTTGGAAAACTTGCCGCTATTACTGCATAACTGCATAGCTTTGGCTTGAATGCGTTTCTCTCGACATCATCTTGCATATAAGTGTCTTGATATATTTTTTTACACTCCATCACCCCCCCTATACAAGCCTTTGGATCGCCAATTTGTCTCATCCAGCTTCGCCGCATTGCATTCAGGCCCGTTCTGTATTCACGACCACCAAAAATGGATCTCGATGGCAAACCATCGTATAGACACTCAAAGCTCGACTTCAATCTCTTCCGTAAAAGGCCCGTCGGTATGTGCTATCTTATTCCAGCTATGGCAAACATAAAAGCTAATCCTGATCAAGACAAGCCTCCATCTCCGGTGCATCGCTCCTCTGAAGCTTTTGTGAACAGGCTTCCTTTTCTATATTCGAAAACCGAGGAGATTGTCTGGAAATGGGAGCAGTCGAAGCTCTGTGGCCAGAGCATCAACACTACCTTGCAGTCCACCATCATGCCACAAGATCACCCTTCTAACAGACCGGACAGGGCAG